CCCCCCCCCCGCCACTTTCACCACCAAGCGTGAATCCTGCTCTATGAATTGGGGCATAAGTTAAATTAGGTAAGCTCGATTTCTAAGTTTCTCTAAGGCTGTTTCTCCATACATAAAATGGGTCTAACAGTAGCATTGCTCCCACCCCATCCCTGCAAAGAGGAGGACATGAAGCCTCCACTCATAATACTTTCCAGGCAGGTACCAGGTTACACCAGCACGGCGACTGTGGGGGCCTGTGAAGCCGTCACGATCTCCTTAGTCACCGACCACAGAGGAGTGCCGTGCCTCGGTGTCAGAAGGGTGAGCGAGGACTCGAGGTCACGGCCAGGAGCTCCTTGCCTATGCTGTCCTGGGGGCTGTGTGACCAATGAAGAATGTAGAAGGTTCTGCCAGCAGACCCACTAGAACAGCTCCTGTCTCTGTCCTGCAGGGCCCTCTTGAAAGTAAGAGACCTGTGCTCCTGGGCAGGTAACCCACAGGTGGGTAACGTGATTTCCCACACAACCTGGTCGACCTTAGAGGCAGGTGGGGTGAGCCTCTGGCTTCGTGAATCCTGGTGCCATGTCTCTCTCCTCTGGACTTCCATCCCCTAGGGCACTGTGGCACACGGGCTGGTGGCGCTAGGACAGCACTGGGTTAAGAGTCCCCCAAGCCAAGTGTGGTTGTGTGATCTTGTGCTAATTCCTTAACCTCTCTGAACCTGTTTCCTCATCTGTGCTATCTTCTCACCGGATCCAAGAGATGAGAGAGCCTGACAGTGTTTGGAAATCACACCTGACTGGAGACAAAAAGCAACAGTACTTGCTGCGTGCTCATCTGCCAGCGAGCGCTGTGTACCGCAGCAGTCCCGATCTAGTCCTGTCTCTCCCCCACCCCAGACCTACGAGCTGGGCCCTCCGATTAGCTCCTTGTCCTCAGGGATGAATTCAGAGCTCAGAAAAGGGAGAGCGCTGTGCTAGAAACTAGAGAGAGTAAAGGCTTGGTGTGAACCCGGCTTCCCGGGGCAAACCCCCAGGGCATGCGCCAGCTCATATCTCCTGGTGGGATCCAGGCCCTGGAGTTGGCCTTACTGAAAACAAACAGCAGCCCGAGCCTTGCGTTACATGGAACCTTTGTTATTTTATTGGAAAAAGCTGGTATTAACATATTTATACTTTTATTCAACAGTTGGATAATTTGTGAGACAAAAGAAGAAAATAATGCACCTATGAGTCAGAAAGTCCAAAATGACCAGGTCTGACTACTGTCCCACCACACACCCTATACCACCACCCGGAACGCCAGCCTCAGCGATGAGTGAGATTAAAAACCAACAACACCCCAACAACTTCACGACGATGTGAACACCCGTACGTTCAAGAAGACCAGAAAACTCAGAGTAAGAAGGCCACGTTCGCTACTAATTATGCCGGTCCTTCCTCCATGGCTAGGTTTGCCCTCCCCCCTCGCCGTCTTCTCTCAACACACATTTTATTTTTCACAATTTGCTTTGGGTACTGTTATTTTCCAAAGAGCCAAAGACATACTTTGCTTCTGAGAAGACTTTTTTTCTTTTCTTCTATATTTTTTTCCCTTTGGTACCCAAAGTTTAAAACAGAGCTAGGAGCAGTGTAAACGCCTCCTTTCAAAGACCAGGCAAAGATCGGTACTGAAGTCGTAAATGTTAAACCTGTGACTCAACAGTGACCTCTAGCAGCAAATGCAAATTTCAGCTCTTAATATTTGAATCACAAAAGGACATGGATCCTGCCAAATATCCAAGCAACCGTGTAAGGCCCTCGGAGCTGGATTTTGGCTTCAACAAAGTGTCTATACAACCGACCACATTCTTGAACCTCTTTACAAGGGGAAGAAAAAAAAAGGAATCCAATCCTTTGATTGTTAAATTTAATTAGAATAAATATGTACATATAATACTGTCCAGGTCAACTGGATTTTACAGTGATATATAAACAAACAGTCTTCATTCATGTTGATTCAAAAGAACAGAAACGAAAACAAAAACAAACCAACGGACCCATTTCCCCGTGTAAATGGTGTAAGTGCCCCTCCTGCCTCTTGTGCTTTTACACACACGGAAGTCTGCTGTGAGCCATTGAGAAAAACCTCAGTTGGGTCTATTTCCTGGGTTAGGGTACATCTTGTAAGAAAAAAAAAAAAAAAAGCCGGGTTGTGCCGGGTCTCTGTCTGCACTCTGCTTTCTGAATTAAAATGCCAAGCCATGTGGTTTGACTGCAATTCCATGAGACAGGATGAAGCGGCGTGGGCGGGGCTGGTCTGGACAGAACAGGAGGGTCTACTGTGGAAACACCACATTCTGTGGCTCTCAGTGTCACAGGGGACGCTCCCAAATGAGCGTCCTCTGGGACTGTGTGGTCCTTAAAGAAAATACCCTACAATGGTCAGAACATGCAATTTCTTTTGGGAGGCAATTCAGTGCGTTTGAACAAGGAGCTACAGCTGCAGACACGACACGGGTGAAGCGAGGAGTTCCAGGGAACGCAGAGCTCCGGAAGTTACCAAGCAGAGCTGGGGACCACCAGTGGATCTTCTCCATCTTCCATCCTGCACCTCGGTCCCCGGGACCCTCGTCATCGGCACACCTGCTCTGTCCTACTTCACAAGACAAAGAGGAATTTCCCTTCCAGAACCTCCCACGAGACTGTCACTTTAGTAGGAGCCACCAACGTGGTGGATTGGCAAGAGCCTTGTGTGAAGACCTGGATGAGATTCCCGACGCCAGCACTGGGCTGGGGCCGGCCGGGGACAATTCGTGGATCTGTTCAGAACCTCAGTTTCCTCGTGTGTGTAAAGCGGACAAGAATTATGCACCTTTAATCCCTGGCACCGAGCCCAGAGCCGGGCACTCAGTGAGCAGGTGGTGTTTACAGAGGAAATGAATGGACACCCACCGCACAGTCATGAGAACGATTCCACAAGGTCCTGGCTGCGGACGGTGTCAAATCCCGGAAGGGGCTGGCCGGTGTTGAAGGATGACGGGAGAGCTACCGCGCTGCGGAGTGGGGTGTCGGGATCACCCCGCAGGGCTGGGCGGCTGGCCTGCCGTCCCTGATGCCCCAATGCCGGTTAGTTCAATGACGATGACAGGCACGCACACCGAGGGGCCCCCACCCTTCCCCAGGGGAAACTGCCAGACCTGGGACCCGGATAGGGACGTTCAGAAACCCCCGGAGAGGAGCCTGGCCCTGTGAACTCTCAACATCCAAAAATCAAAGAGGAGACGGTGGGCCCGAGACGGGGCGCACTGCTCCATTATAACCAAAGGGGAGACAGCAGGCCCAAGACGGGGCGCACTGCTCCATTATAACCAAAGGGGAGACAGCAGGCCCGAGACGGGGCGCACTGCTCCATTATAACCAAAGGGGAGACCACGGCCGGAGACGGGGCGCACTGCTCCATTATAACCAAAGGGATGCCTGTCTGTCCCGAGCCCTGATCTGGGCAGGAGACGTGGGGGGAAGCAGCCCCCATCAGCTCCAGCCTCCCCTGAAAGGACCCACTGGAGTGAAAAATCAACCGGGACACGTCCAAAGTCCCGATGATGTAGTGACGACCGCAGCCCGCAACGGAAGGTGCGGGCATGAACCCTGAACGTAGGACTCGACGATCGCGTCCATGTTATGATGTGTGGCTGTGAGTCCTCCTTTCCCTTTGTGAGAGCAGACGATCCCACCAGAGGCGCTGCTGGCCGAGGGAGGACGGAGGGCCGAGCCCGTCACCCGTCCCCACCGGCCACCTCTGTGGCTGTCTCTGCCACCGCTCTCATCCTGCCCACTCCTGCACTGGGGCAGCCCCCGCGAGGCTGGCTGTCGGCTTCGGCTCCCTAGTGCATGTCCGAGTTCACCTTGTCCTGGAAGATGTACAGGTTGTTGGTGGCCGCGATGGCGATGATGTTCTCGGCCGGGTGCCAGGCCGTGTGCAGGATCTTCTTGGTGAAGTCCAGGCTGTCCACGCTGATGTCGTCACGCCGCCGCTTGCCGCCCACGCACACGCGCCGCGGCTTGAGCACGGCCCTGGGCTTGCTGCTCTCCCTCGAGGCCTCCAGGGTCACGTCCCTCTTGGTGTTGCGGTCAAACATGCGGAAGAAGTTGTTGTAAGCCCCCGTCATGATCACGCTGGCGGGAGAAGAGGCGTCGGTTAGGGAGGGCGGAGAGAGACCTGCATCTTCTCATGACAGAACCTCAGGGCCTGCGGGACCAACGCTCCCTGGAAAGAGAGCCCATATCTGCCTCGACGCCCCCTCGTTCTCGGGGTCTCCTGTCCCCACTCACACTTCAGCCACCGCCACCATGCAGGCTGCGGGGCAGGGAACTAAGAGCCCTTTAGTGCTCTGCCCCAGACACCTGCCAACACCTCTTGTGGTTGCCCTTGACCCCGGGAGAGACTGCTCCAGACTTTAAAGGCTATGCAGACCCCAGAGGAAAATAAACAGAAGACAGCAGGGTGGGAACCCCACAGCTGACAGGGCAGGCCTCTGAACCACCCCAACCATTCCCTCCTGCTCTGGGGGCTGAGTGAATAAGTGAGCGCTCCCTGCCAGGTGGGAGGAGGCAAATGCTTCTGAGGGCAGGTGTCCAGACCGCCCGTCCCGCTGGGGCAGCCGTGCATTCGTCCACGGCTGCTGGGGGGAGTCTCCATGGTGCGAGGAGGAGAGGAGGACAGATCCAGGGGCCGAGGCCTAGGGAAGGGTTTGGGGTTGGCCTGTGAGAGGCCCTGGAGGCAGAAGAGCGGGGAGGAGGAAGGGATCCCAAGAAGCCGTAACAGGGAGACAGGTCCTGTTTCACAGCCTGCGGGGAGGTGGGCGCTTGTCTCTCCTTCTGGGAGGCGAACTGTGCTTCCCTGCTCTGAGAGGCTGCCATGTGGGCCCTGGGCCTGCCAGGGCCTCTCTGTCACCCAGTCACACAGGAGCTTCCAGTGCCGGGGATGGGGGCAGAGTGGGGGTGGCCACCTGGCGAGGCAGGCACCTAGGGTTCATGGGACTGGCCTGGGCCCCGGGTGACGCTGTCATGGACGGAAGAGGACACATCTCCTTGTTACCAGGTCTCCTGTGGGAGAACACGGGCACATCAAGTGGCACTGGGAGAACGTGGTCCCCGGCCCATCGGTGAGAGTCCTAGCATGGGGACTGGCCTGGGCCCCGGGTGACGCTGTCATGGACGGAAGAGGACACATCTCCTTGTTACCAGGTCTCCTGTGGGAGAACACGGGCACATCAAGTGGCACTGGGAGAACGTGGTCCCCAAGGCCCATCTGTGACAGTTCTAGCATGGAGCGGGGCCATCACGGGTCTGCCCTCAGGCAGACAAGGATGACTGCCAGGTGCCACCGCTGTCCAGGGGCCATTTCTTAACAGATGGTGACGGCAGCGGGGGGAGGCCCCCACTGCTGCCTGGCTCGGGAAACGGCTCAAGGGAGGGCATGCAGCAGATGGCGGGGCAGCCACGCCGCTGGACTCGCACACGGCCGACTGCAGTTTGAGTCCTGGACCAGGGGCTTGTGAACCACGCGGGGCACGAGTGCCCAAATCCCCAGAGGAAAATGGAGAAGGGATTGTGGCATGGCCACGCCCCCCAGGGTGATTTCTCACTTTCCCTCTCACTGTACCACCCCCCACACAGCCCAAGCTAGGCATGCACCCTAAGCCAAAAAAAAAAACCTTAAAAAAAAAAGAAAGAAAGAAAAGGAAAACGGTGAAGGGGAGCGCTGGTGTCCCCATCAGAAGCAGGTGACAGCTAACTGTCCCCTAAGGGCAAAAGGCACAGTACTATGAAAACAAAGGGGTTCCCTGAGTCCCTTTCCCCGTCATCTGTCTTCAGAATTCCGACTCATTCGCTCTTTATGGAAAGAACCGTTTAGTCGACTTGGGGACTGGCCAAGGATTCTCCAGGTGATCTGAGGTTTGGTGTTAGCCCATGAGGGCTTCGGGGCATCCCGCCCACTCTGTGCAGTTCCTGGAGACACTGTGCCAGCTGGGGCCGGGCCCTTGACTGGAGCCAAGTCTGCATGCCAGCCTTGAAGTCACCTCCCCTCACGTCAATGACTTTCTCTGAGTGGGGCGGATACTGAGGATGGAAACCTCTCCATAAGGAGGCTCTTCTAGAAGTTCCTGGTAGTCAGGCTCACCTGGTAAGGCTAGGGGTCTGGCAGGAGCAGAGGGCAGAC